CTAAATCACAGAGAATATAATTTTTTAACTCTCAGAGACATGATAGCAATCTCCCATGATTTCGCTTCGAAATCATCTGGATACATATTCCAAACAGATAATGAAGACAATTTAGAAGGTGAAAAATTAAAAATAAGATATAGTCACATATTCGAAAAAATAATATCTATCTGATTATATAAGAATCAGAGATGTGAACCTTAAACTTAAGGTAAAACTGAATAAACTGTAGTTTTTAATTAAAGTTACCTAATTAATTAAATAAAAAAAGAATTGCAGAATGCCATCACTAAACCTTAATGCATATTCATTTTTTTATTTTCTTGTATTTCTAAGCATTTTTAGTATCGTGGTTTTTTATATATTAGAAAATTGTTTCAGATCTATTCACATTAGGGTGTCCAGAATTCTGCGACACATAATTCTACTCAATCTAAAAATATTTTTTTTGTACCGTCTCTGAAAGATAAACGTGACTTAATAATTTTTTAAAACAAAATACAATACAAAAAAATATTTTTTAAAGCGAGCAGAATTATTTACTGCAGAATTCTAGACACCTAAATATCTAACTTTAAGGAGTATAAACAAATTCAATATTTTTTGAGATATAATATCTAGTCAACACTGTCTCATAGGCCTGTGCGGCTTTAATTATAAATTTTTTTATCATCTTTTTTTAAAATCAACTATGAACTACAATAAATATTATTTGTGAATTTTAATTTTTTTTCAATTAAATAAAAATTATCTTATCAAATTTTATAATTTTTTTTATTTTATTTTAATTCTATAAATAAATAAATAAATAAATAATTGATTTAAAGTTTATTAATAAAATTATTTTAAATATCTACTCCAATAATTACAAGACATCAAAACATGCAATTCTATTCTGACACTTTCTTTAACTGGGTTCATTACATAAAAAAATATTCTTAATTTCAAGATATATCAAATTTTGATGTACATATTAATTTTTTTTTTACTAATAGGCTCAAAAAGTTTTTAATAAAATAAATAATGTCGATGACCTTACCCCGGAAAAAATCCTAGTTCACAAAAAAATTTTTAATTGTAGAATTCAGTATTTTTAGTTTTAGGCAATTCTTTAGGAAATTTTAAGTGGCCGACCACCATTCTCTTTCACATATTTACAGGACTTTGAGAAGCTATATAACAGGGTTGCTCTAGAAAATTTAGAGTAATTAATAGTGACATAATGTGTATGGGCACGCACCAACTTGTCGAGTCAAAAAAATAAACTATATTTACATAATTTAAATTTTTCTAAAATTTAATTATAGGTATTAATTTTCAAAATTTGTCTTGAAACAATTTTAAATCCCTAAAAGTAATAATTGTAATATTCCTTGAAAAGAAAATGTTATTTAAAAATACTAATACTTATTCATATTAAATTCAATTCTTTAATTTGAATAACAATTGAATTTTAATTTGATAGCTATAAAGTCAATTAATGAATAGCGTGTATTTTAATAAGTATTATTGGTTTTCAATAAGGTAAATTTATTTAAACATTATTATTAGTGATCACATTTAAAATGTATAAATAGATTAAAAATTGTCTAGCTTTAATAAAAAGGTAATTATAGCTCATAATTCGATTCTAATATTTTGTAGCTATGAGAATATTAGAAAATCTTAAAACTCATTATAACAATGAAAAATTTGCAGACACTAAAATAATAGTGGATGAAGATAAAAATGAAGTAATTTATGTTCATTCTCAAATACTTAAGATACAATCCAAATATCTTGAAAGTGCTTTATCACAATCTTGGGAGAGAAAAAAAGATAATTACTATATTATTAAGAAACCAAATGCTACAAAAGAGAGCATGGATAATGTATTAAAATTTCTTTATTTTGATAAACCATTTTCCTCACTGCGAGCTGAAGAATTTATAAAAACATTTTTGTTAACTGATGAAATATGTATAGATGTGTATCTTAATATGTTAAACCAATATTTTATAAACAACATAGAAAAATTAATAAGTGATGATTTGAAACTAATTTTTGATTTTATTGAATCCTTTAAGGAACTGCAGAAAATAGTAGTAAGAACAATATTTCATAAACCTAAATTATTTTTTTCAGCAGAAAATTTTCAAACTATAACTATTCAATATTTGAAACTTTTTATATCAAATGACAATTTAGATATAAAAGAAACTGAAATTCTTAAAAAAGTAATTATATGGTTAAATGGCAGAGATTTGAAAGATTTGAATGAATACTATAATATATTATTAAAATATATTCGCTTCGATCAAATAACTGATAATGGTTTTAAAATATTGTATGTGAATTTAAAAGAAGAAAGTATTAACTCAGACATTTTAAAAAAGGTAGTTGGTACTTTTTTGAGTTTAAAAGATAAGAAAAATTTTATTCGTTATAGCAATATAAATATCGACTCAAAGATCATATAAAAAGAACAACTCATAAAGTTAATGCAGTGGATTGATAGACAAGATACAACAAATTATAAGCACAACTTTAAATTATTATTAAAAGAAAATGTAATCAAAGCTGAGCAATTACACAGTTCTTGTAATAATAAAGATGCTACAATCGTGATTGGAAAGTTAAAAAATGAAGATAGTTTTATTGGAGGATATAACTCTTTAAATTGGTCAACAGAAACTTACAAAGGAACAGAAGATAGTTTTATATTTACCAGTAAAAATATGCGATTAGGGAGGGTTAAATCAAATTGTGCCTTCAAAGCAATCTCCTGTCATTCAAAAGGCACTCATTTTGGTTATTATTATTTATATATAACTGGCAAGTTAGAAAAGGAAGCTATTATGAAAGTATAGGACTTGATGATAAAGATTATTTAATCGATTACTTTGAAATATTTCAGATTATTAAATATAGATAAACATATATATGTTATCTAAGACATATATTAGAGAATTCCAAATCGTAGTTTGTGTAACTTTATTATAGAAATCTTTCTTGCTTATCTTTATCAATCCTATAAAATTTTATTCAAATATATTTCCATTATTTCTGAAAGCAAAAAAAACCATTAAGATATATATATTTATAAACAATAATAGTTTCTTTACAAACAAATTAAGACTATTGACGCGAATGTGATAAAGAGCTTTTTTCATAACAAAAATATATATTTTTAAGTTAAAAAGTATATTTACATATTATTTAAAAAATGGTCTAGAACTGTTGTCATTCCTTCAAAGCAAAGCACTATTATCTTCAATTTATGGAGCAGTTTACGTAAAAAGACAAAAAATGATAGGTACCTATTGATACATAAAAATGTTTGTTAATTATTCAATTTTCTAATTTTTTTCCAAAAAAAGATTTATTAAAGACTATATTTTGGATATTAATCGATTAAACAACTTATTGAAAAATAATGAAATTAATTTTTTGAGCAATTTGTTTCCACCTGCAAATGTAGAATTAGACGAAGAGGTCAACGAATATTTAGATAATATATTTTCTATTTTTAAGAGTAAAGAGGTAACATGAATGTGCTTCTTTTTCTTGTTTTGATTTAATAATTTTACTTCATTTATAATAATATTTAGACTCTTAATGCTGAAAATATATTCGAAGAAGTGGAACAAGAATGGAAATTAGTAAATTTGGGAATTAAAACTTTAAAAAAATGCCAAATTACTTTCATTTTTGATACCATACAAAAATTGTAAAGTATCACACAGATCTTATCATTAAAAACTTGTAGAATTAATCTAATGATTGGAAAAGTTGACCTTCTACTCTCTTATTTATTGAAATAATAAATTGAATTAGTCTTAAAAAATTTCGAAGAAGAAATTTTGTTGACATTAAATTTTATAGTTATAATCAATAAAAAAAATGAAAAGAACAAATACAATTTCATATTATTCAGCATTAGTGACATTAGTAGTATTATTTTCTTCTTTTTTGACTTCTGTTTTGATATTAACTATTTTAAGGTAGTATTCTGCGCAAATTAAACCCTATCCTGCCAAAATTATAAAATATGTACTGTATTCCATTTCACAAACCTCAAATATGTTACAAAGCTTATCTAACGATTCACTTGAACTAGCACTTATTTTTTGCCATAGAATTGAGTTAAAATTGTAGACTGGTGATGTTGAAAAGAAAGCTAAGATATTTTATGACGCAATTCATTCCACATTGAACGATGACTCACTCAAGGAACAAAGAAAACAAAAACTAGTACTTCTTAAAGAAACACCTTCTGACATCGTAAGCATATATTTTTTATGAATTTCTGAATGTTATTTTTACATAATATCAGCAAAAATATATATGCGTAAACTTTTGTAAGTTTTTACAGTGTGTATAAAAATCGTAAAACTATGTAAAATTTAGCGTAAAACTATGTAAATCTTACGATGCATAAGAAAATCGTAAATTTACGTAAAAATTTTATATAAATTTACGAGTTTCTTACGCACTATAAGATTTATGTAAACCAACGTAAATCTTATGCACCGTAAAAACTTACGAAAATTTACGGAAGTATATAAAAATTTATAAATCCTAAAATTTAAATCTCAAGAAAAAT